TTTCGAATTGGGCATTGTTGTATTATTGGTTGATAGATATCATCTTGTTCACCCAACTCAATTCCCCCCACCCATTTCAAAATTTTGACTCAGTGAATTGTTGGCTGAGTTTTCACCGTATGTCGTGGTTCCAGTTCTTTGTTGGGTGTAAAAGTACTGCCCAGACTCATCCATTACCTGTATCCCAACGGGAGTTGAACATTTACCCATCACACCAGAAATTGGAAATGACAATGGACCCATCTCTCGCCTAAGCAACTCAGTGTAAGACATGACAGTTGTGGTTATACACCCTCCAGTCTGACTACTGCCTATTCCAGCATTGATGTCTTCGGTCTCCACGTACAAAGCAACACTAGCAATGCTGGGGTTGTCAAATACCACATTAACCATTGAGGTCACTAGTTCATCGTTGACAATTTTTCAGACCGACATGTGTATTTATGTTTGGTCCTGGTCCTGTTCCAACTGTAAAAGGATATCTACATGTCAACTTCAACTTGTTATGTGCCATGTCCAACCCCATTACAGTATAAATTTTACTCATTAACTTTGACAGTTGTGTACCACTATTGATAACAATACCACCTTTGGGAGGACAACTGTATGATAAACCATTCGAGCCATAATTCATTTGTCCACCCGAATATAGCAAAACAGTAACTTGTTTTCCCGCCATTTCAATTAGTTTCGGCTATAGAATAAGTTTTGAATTCAAAAGAACCTGGGAATAGATAGAAACGATTAATACTTGAAGAAATTATCAATTAGAAAACCTAAAAGGATAAAATGTACTTGTATGATACTAAGAAAGATGAACATATAACTTTTATATGGAAGTTTGAATAAATAATCCCTACAAGAGGGTATCTCCTTAGATGTTATCATGTATTGAATCAGAAGTGAAACATGTTATCAAGAAGCCAAACAATGTAGGCAATTTTTTTAGCTAACAAGGCAATAATTGAACAACATTGACAACTTTATCAAAATTATCAGGACTATCCAACTCAAGGATGACAACACTGGAGTTACTTTGAGTGATTCAAAATCAACATACTTATTTTGAAGTAAATATGGTGTTTGATGCCTAAGAGAAATAAATACTGAACTTCGATTAAGATTGAGAGAGACAGACATGAAATAGAGAACCTACATAATATTTGAATGTAATTCTCTCTAAAAATTAATAATGTTTATACTTGACGCCCAATCACAATTAATCTTTTGGAAAGAGTAAACATGCCATAGACTGGAATTTCAATTATGTTAGGAGTGTAGACGATACAATATAAGTTGCTATTGTGATCCTATGAGTTACAATATGAGTTGCTATATAGACAATACAATACGGGTCTATATGAGTTAATAATACCTGATGATCAAGTGATCTAACCATTACCAAATAAAAGAGAAATAGTAGACATGTTGATGTAGACCCGTATTTGTCCAACACCACAGAGGGTATGAACCGATAGATCGATGGATACTTTCTTAATAAAAATCTGAAACCTGAGTTTGTTAATATCTAACACCTCCATTAATGATTACCAATTGATGACATAGTTAAACTGAATCACACAGAGAAATGTCAAGTGGTGATAGTCGTTGAGATTCGATTAATAATTTCAAAGTTTTCATGTTTATTCATAGTTGTGTTTGGAGTATGGGATGAGTAAGATATAACATGCACAACAAAAAACCTTTGTGGAAGAATAATCTAGAGAAGTATGAAAAAGAAGCTCAAAAGG